TTTTTTAAAAATATATAAAAATATATATATAGTGCAGAAAGACCTCAAGGAGCCGCAGCAGTGTTTGGCTGCTTAAGGCAGAGTTACGCTGTTTATTGCATTTAATGAAATAACTTGCGTTGTGCTTTTTTGTTTTTAAAAAAAAAAGAAAAAAATTTATAATCCTCTAACAAAGGAGTGTAACAGAGGAACGTTACGCCAGCGCAGGGTCTGTTTTTGTCACTGGTATTTATTGTGACTCTAAATCTTTGATAATAAAACAAAAATTAAAAAAAAAAATAAAATTCCCACTAAAACCTGATCGTCTCAAGGGCGGAAGAATCTGAAATCGGTAACTGTATCTTGTTTTGTGAGGGATTTTAAGTATTTGAATGACAATAAACCAATGGACAAACCCTTGGGTCTGCCTCTTCTTTCGAGTCTGGCGCTTTGGCGATCCACCTCGCTCAGCACCGCGCGCCTATCGGTGAGGACGCTCGAGACGAGGTCGTGGTCCGCTCCTTTCCTCTGGCAAGGGCACCGTTTCTTCCCCGAAAAGCCACTGTGGTGAGCTCCCGGGAAAGGAAGGAGAAGACAAAACCGATGTGGAATTTCATGGATTGAAATGAAAAGCCACAAAGGGATTAAACGTCCCCACCGATGCTGGCTCTGGATGGGGACGGGGCACGTTCTCCCGGCAGAAACGAGACACAAACGCCTCTTCAGCCCTTGTCCTCGCCCTGGAATTGCTGCTCTGCCCCTCGTTACCCTTCGGCTTTATCCCTTGCTGCCGCAAGAACTTGACCTCCCAAATAACCTGGAGAAGACAAAACCAGCTGCTGCGTTCTGCCTGCGTCGCCCTGGGAGCTGGAGAGCTGCGGATGCGGTCGCTCTGCAGTTCCATCGCTAGAAATTCAAACCTCCTGAAATTCTTGAATACATTTGTAAGTTTATTTAAATACTCCAGGATGACCCAGGAAGCTGGTGGGTCGCTACCCTCTGGGAGGCGAAAGGGGAGATTTGGATCGCAAACTCGGAACAAGAACGTTGCCAGAGTATTTTTGTCCAAAATTCTGGATAAAAGCAGCCGTGGAGCATCGCTCGGCAGCCTGGGCAGTGCTGCAGACACGGCACGTAGCGAGTCCCTCCTCGAGCTGGTGGTTCCCCGAAGCTGTGCCCGGTCTTTTGGCTCACGGTGAGCTGCCACAAGGCGAAGAAACGCGGCTTTGCCAACAGCCACTGGTTTGGGAGGAGAGAGGGAAGAAGGGACGTGGTTCCTGCTCTCGAGTGAAGCTCAGCTTGAAGGGAGGGAAAAAAAAAATGTGTATTTTCAGCCCGGGTTTCCACGTGCGTGTGCGCGTTGTATCGCCAAGGGCGAGACCACAGCGGTAACTGGGGGTTCGTGCATGTGCCGGATCAAGCCCTGGGCGTTTGTCTGTCTGTGACGCTTACCTGCTCGTCCCTGGGCAAAGCTGGAAACCCCCCGACCCTCATCGAGCATCCCGGCCTCATCCTGCCTGGAACGCTCTGCTCGCCCTTGCCAGCCGGGGTCCCCTGCCGCGGGCTGAGCCGCTGCCTGATATCGCTGAGGAGGAGGAGCGGTTTGCTCTGGGTGAAGGCAGCAACAACTCCTTTTGGCGTCCTAAGACCCGGTTTCGGAGAGCTGAGGCG